TCAGAGGGCCACAGTGATTATATAAAAATATGTAATCTGTGATATGCATGTAATACCACATTTTAATGACTTGCTTTTTACTTACTGACCTCCAGGATAAAGTACAGAGGTTAAGCACTAACACTGTGATTATGACCACTTCAGAACTGTCGGGGTGGCTTGCAATGAATAATTAACTGTAGTTTAGGTGTGTTAATGATTGTGATTTAAAAATTATTGGATTTCTTTACCTATTAGTTAACAGCATCTTAGTCCCTGATCCCAGAGTGGGACCCATGAGGACAGAAGTTCATGCTTGTGTGGACCTAAACTGAAGTCACTGGGGCGTGGTATGGGTACAAGGCTCCAGTCGCATGGCTCTATGTGTAGGACCTAAGATTATTTAAATTTGAAAGACTTAAATATCTGGTTTACTTTTCACTCGTTATGCTCTTTTGTATTCTTTATATTTTGCATTCAACTCAGCTTGGATCATGAGAACAGAATGGTCTGGGCACTTTTGTATATAGTCAGTTTCACTTTCTTCTTCCCAAGCAACAGCCATAAGGCTGTCAGCTTTGGGCTGCAAATGTTTAAATCAAAGTAAAAATATTTTTATTTTTTAAATAAAGTTTTTTCATGAAAAGAAAAACAAAGTTTGTTACATCTTGTCTAAACACACAGTTTTTATATCGCTTCAACTATATTGGGTTGAAACTTGGCATAATTAAAGCAGTACAATCCCCAATCCCCTGCTGGGACAGTTTATCCCAGTAAATTTAAGGAAATAAGATATACTGGGAAAAGCACCATTTATACCAATATAGCTGTGTCCTCACTAGTTGTTGAACTGATTTAATACATTAATTTCTTTTTAAATTACATCCCTAACCAACATAGTTCAACTGTACAAAAACTGTGCTTGAACTATCAGCCCTTAATGACTTTAGCTACTTTTATTCTGAATTTACACATACTATATTTCACCGAAATAACTAAACCTGTTTTAATTCACACCTTTTGTTATTTCGATGCAAGTCTGTGTGTAGACCAGCTCTGAGACAAAATGACTGACTCCTTTTTGCAGGCTTGGAATAGGGGAACAAGTTTCATTTGTATCCTCCCTGTTCAGCCTTCCCATTCGATATGCATTGTGATGCTCTGCACTTGGCCATGAGTGATTTAATTAAATTATGGTAATTGGTGGGAAGTAATAGTATCCCCATTGTTTGGCAGTGGCATTTCTAGGACATGCCTGTACAGGGATAGGAAATTACACTGTACTAACTAAATGCAGGAATTTTTAGTTTAAAGCACTAAATAATGCAATTAGAATTGCACTCAATGACAAGACATATACACAGTCACACACTGGCCCTAAACTGCAACCTGTTTTGCCCTGGCAAAAAAGGATCCAACAGGGGATATTTAGGACCAGGTCTACCTTACAAACTTTTGCTGGTATAGCTATGTCAGTTAAGGGTGTGATGAGGTGTGATCTCTGACAGATACCATCAATGTACACAGAGTTAAATCAGCAAAACTGGTATAGCTTATTTTGTTTGGGTGCGAGAGAACTGGAATAAGCTATACTGGGAAAAGTGAAGTTTTGCTGGCATTAGCTGTGTCCAAATTAGGAGTGCTTTGCAGGTATACTATACTGGTCTGGCTATGGTGGCAAAGCACTCCTACTATAGATCTGGCCTAAGTCTTCAGATTCTGAGCTATATGGCTTAGGTAGTTACAGAAATGGAGAAGACCTTTGGACTCATCTACATTGTAATGATGAGTGAGTTTGGGAAGAGGGTATAACATGGTACTCCTTGAAAGCAGATAAAAATCATTTTCGTCTTGAAGTGTAAATAGCACCAACTATGTTTTCAGTTTCTTTTCCTGAACTGTGCTAGAGTGTTGGCTGTTTGCAGGACTGCAGCACAACTGGGGGACATGGTAAAAACAGTTTGGTTCTGTCTGCTGCCAAATACTGAATCGTATTTCAGTTGTGTGGGACAACTAACACATTTTAACCTCATCCCCAAACACTGCAGTTGTTATAGTATAGAATGGGCCTTTCTCAGATTGTCAAAGTGGGAAATTGTGCAATATGAGGTTTTTGCAGGGCTTCACTGTCTTGCAATGAATACCTACTGCCTTCTTCCATTGCTATTTTATTTCATTAAATTGTGTTTTAATTCTATTCAACGCAAACTGCAAGCTCTTCAGTGATACCATGCACATCTATAAGTATACAATTAAAAGCAGAAGAAAGATTAATCATCCATCCCCATTCTCCCCCAGGTGGATGGTTTGCTATTTGGAAGAGCTTTATTTATATTTGTTTTATTGTGAGCTGTTTAAACTCATGAATATTTTACAGCATTGTGGTGGCTATAAAATGGTGGAAGAAAAGCTGCAGCTTTTCTGTCCAATAAATCAGTGTTGATATATAGTACTTTAAGCTAAAAGGCTTATATAGAGAGAGAAAAGAAAGGGATTTTATTATCCCTTGCACAAACACAAACAAATATGCTTTTGCTGTCTGAACACAACAAACCAAACAAAAGATGCAAATTCTGCAAACATGATTTCCATTAAAACGAATCAAAGTACAGCAGACCTCTAGTCTACCCTGTTGCAATGAGTAGGATAACTGTTCTAAAATGTATAGTTTTAAAAAACTAAAAACGTATGCTAGATTTTTTTTCATCTTAAAAAACATTTCAGTTCAAAAACACTTTTCCACTGTGAACTAACATTTCAGTTTTTCAACAAAACGTATCATAAAAGAGGGGTCCCTTGGTCTAGAAGGACCATTTGGAAATTAAAACTATGTCAAGCAAGTTGCTTATCAGAGAGATCTATTTGAAAAGCTGCAAATTACTGACTGAAAGAGGCATCAATGTTGTCAGATTGTTAGAAACTTTTACTCCTTTGTACAAAAGTCTGGTCTGTGCAAATGAACTAAAAATATGACTTCTCAGTGGTCCTTATTTGTTATTTACAATTGATTGTCCTGTTATACTGCTTATATTGTACTGCTAAAGTAACATCGTATGATGGCATTGTCAGAATGTTCCGAAGTTGAAGACTGTTGGAATATTGTCCCTTTAAGGCACTCATGGTATTCAGATAGGTATCACATGAGACTATTGTACTGATCAAAACTTTTAATTAATGCAAAATACAATCATGCTGCCTTTACTTTAGATTAAAATAGTCCAATAAAAAAAACTTCCTTAAAAGATCTATTTTGTTTAAAGGTGCTACTTGCTGAATTAATACCCCCCCTTCCTCCTCTCCACAGGGGTATAATAATGTGCCACAAATCTACTGTCCAACCTCATACTCCCCAAAATAAAAAAATTCCAAGTTAAACAGGGAACACTGGAGTTCAAGGTTCCAGAGAGAAAAGGCTTTGGCCTCTTAGCTTTACACTCTCAGGAGTACAGGTTCTTGGAAGCACCACAGGTAGATAGCATGGTGATGGGTACATTAGGAATGCCTAATATTTGATTGATCTCTTGGGTTTCCCTGCTGCATGAAGCAGCGCTTTAAGAACTGGCATTCATTATTGTTAGGATTATTTAGTAATCTTTCCAACTGGATTATTGCACCTTCCTCTGAAGCATCTGGCACTGACTACCCTCAGCGACAGGATCCTGGATTTGATTGACTGCTGGTCTGATATGACAATTTGTATGTACTATGGGTGACAATGGGGTTTGGGTTAAAGCAACCCAGTTCTTAGGCGCACTCCCACACAGTGCCCTGGCAGCCCCCATCCTTTTGGAACTCATGATTTTTGAATAATTGGGATCGACAATACTGCAAATCAAAAACAGCAACAGGCAGGACTGCTGCAGATCCCAGTCAGAGTAATGAACTCAGGGAACAGAGCACCACAGTGAAATGTGCAAAACTAAGGCTGAATCTCACCAAATACAGAATCAGTGACCACAAACTGGAGATGGAGCTTGGGAGGCACAAAGCACAGTCTAAACCCAGAAAAAGGCATGGCTCAAAAGGCAACTGTGCAGTCAATGTTGCAGAGAAGAGATTGAGACAGAGAGATTTTCTGTTCCAACGGCCCAAATACATGGAGACAAATATTTCCTCCAATAATCAGAAACCGTAACAGACATCCAAAAGTGATGAGGAAAAAGTGCCTGATCCGGGCAGAGAGAGATGACAGAGATGGCATTGTACTATGTATCTATTTACCATAGGATCAGCAATGGTTAGCAATGGCAAATGGACAAAGGCAATCAACCCCCAAACATAGTGTATAACCCCCTCCTGGGTAGGCTGTACCTGAGGAATCCTTTAACTATACTCTGGCAGCACTTGTATAGCTTGTCATGCAAATAAAACCTGAAGACAATTGAATTGTAAGATTCTTCCCCTATGGGGGGGGGGTGTCTTTTGGGGTGATATCAGTAGAATTTCCCCCTCTCACCCCCCCCCCCCAAACCTTTACAGGTGTGGTGGTTCAGGGATCACAACTAGTTCTCATCTTCAAGCTGGCAGGACTCCTGAATCGGTGGGTCAGACTCCCCCTTCCAGCATAGAGGGTCCCCATACACCCCCAGAGTATCATCATCATCATCATCAGGTGGGAGCCCCCTACCCAACCTATGAGGAAAATCAACAGCAGGTCATGGTCACCTTCCCTGACTGGCAGTCTCTGTTCCACTGCTGCTCCCTACAGCTGGGGTCCTGGTCAATCCTATTGTGCCCAGCGGCTAATCCGACCCTGATGCCCATACAGCCCACCAATGCTCTGTAGGAAGCTACAAGTTATAAGAATAAATCCAACCTCCAGCCCGATACCTATCTCCTAGGTGAGTCTACCCTCCTCTTTGCCACTTAGCCTTTAGTGCGATCGCCCGGGCCCGAGATCTCTGCTCCCCACGATGCTCTCCTACTTTAATGCTGCGCCTCAGGTTGCTACAGAGCCTTTCGCCTTCACCGCGATGGAAAACAGAGAAGAAACTGAACCGAAGCCCGATAGAAATGCTCACATAGGTGGCTCCGTCGCTGCGGCTGTAATCCGTGCTCCCTACGTAGCGTGTTGCAAGCAACCGCCTGCCTCAGCAACCCGGGCTGCGCTCGATGGAGCGACGCGGCGGTGTCCAGACGTTCGGCTGTGGAACGTTGGGGTGCCGCAACATTCCAAGCGCGACCCCAGAAGACAGCAGCACCGGCGGCTCCTTCTCAGCGGAACTGCAGCCAGCGCTCTCCAGACTTCGGCACGCAAAAGTAGGTCAGCGCTGCACTGAGCATGCTCGAGCTAGAGCCAGGCTGCTGTGAAAATTCATTGAGCTGCCCAAGGTTGATGCAGCTTCTTTCCTTACCCTCCCCACACTGAAGGTCACAAAACGGAGTGGAATGGAGCATCCAGAGATTAAGGGATCCCACGTTCATGGGAGCTGCGGAAATACAGGTTCTCCCTTTGGCAACAGGCAATGACAACGGATTCTGCAAATTATTAGTTGGATTAAGAGAATCAAAATAATAAACTATTCTTCTTACTACTATTGATTTTGCAAATGACCGAAGATTTTTTATATTGAAACCTTTGCATCTTCATACCCCGCCCCCGTACATCCTAGATATTTTGCTAACGTCTAAAACATTGATTAAAATAATTTTTATTCTGACTATCTCTGAGCCAAAAAGTGCTGTCAGTGGAATTTGAAGCACTAGAGAAGATTTAGAATTATAGGACTTCTTTTGTCTACCTTTAACATTAACCTTGAGCAAATAAATGCTATTCTTATACAAGATCATTTGTTATCGGGAATAAATTCTTCTATTTTTTTAACTCTGCTACAGAACAATACAGATTGATGTTAAATTGCATTTATGGCACTACATCTCTTTTCAATTATATTGTCAGACTAAAAGAACTGCAGTAAAGATAATTTCATTTAATAGTGTAGGCAAAATGGTGTGGGTTAGAAATGGAAAAGTTCAGAATGTTGTTTTTAGTTGCATACGAGTTCTCTACTAGCTGTATATATTACTCAGTAGCAATCCTTTTCCTAGCATTGATCATAGAATCATAGAATATCACGGTTGGAAGGGACCTCAGAAGATCATCTAGTCCAACCCCCTGCTCAAAACAGGACCAATCCCCAACTAAATCATCCTAGCCAGGGCTTTGTCAAGCCTGACCTTAAAAACCTCTAAGAAAGGAGATTCCACCACCTCCCTAGGTAACCCATTCCAGTGCTTCACCACCCTCCTAGTGAAAAAGTTTTTCCTAACATCCAACCTAAACCTCCCCCACTGCACCTTGAGACCATTACTCCTTGTTCTGTCATCTGCTACCACTGAGAACAGTCTAGATCCATCCTCTTTGGAACCCCCTTTCAGGTAGTTGAAAGCAGCTATCAAATCCCCCCTCATTCTTCTCTTCTGCAGACTAAAAACAAGCCCAGTTCCCTCAGCCTCTCCTCATAAGTCATGTGCTCCAGCCCTCTAATCATTTTTGTTGCCCTCCGCTGGACTCTTTCCACATCTTTCTTGTAGTATAGGGCCCAAAATTGGGCACAGTACTCCAGATGAGGCCTCACCAATTCCGAATAGAGGGGAATGATCACGTCCCTCGATCTGCTGGCAATGCTCCTACTTATACACAGGGCTGGCGCAACACATTAGGTGACCTAGGCAGTCTCCTAGGGCACTAACATTTGGGGGGCGGCGACCGCGCTGTCCGGATCTTCGGCCGCCCCAGTTGTCGGAGGTACTTTGGGGGCGGGACCTTCCGCCCCCTCTGTTGGGGGCGGTATTTTGGGGGAGGGATCTTCCACTGCCTAGGGCAGCAAAAAAGCTGGTGGCGCTCCTGCTTATACAGCCCAAAATGCCGTTGGCCTTATTGGCAACAAGGGCACACTGTTGACTCACATCCAGCTTCTCGTCTACTGTAACCCCGAGGTCCTTTTCTGCAGAACTGCTGCCTAGCCACTCGGCCCCTAGTATGTAGCAGTGCATGGGATTCTTCCATCTTAAGTGCAGGACTCTGCACTTGAACCTAATCAGTTTTTTTTTGGCCCAATCCTCTAATTTGTTTAGGTCCCTCTGTATCCTATCCCTACCCTCCAGTGTATCTACCACTCCTCCCAGTTTAGTGTCATCTGCAAACTTGCTGAGGGTGCACTCCACGCCATCCTCCAGATCATTAATGAAGATATTGAACAAAACCAGCAACAGGACTGACTCTTGGGGCACTCTGCTTGATACCGGCTGCCAACTAGACATGGAGCCATTGATAACTACCCGTTGAGCCTGATGATCAAGCCAGCTTTCTATCCACCTTATAGTCCATTCATCCAGCCCATACTTCTTTAACTTGCTGGCAAGAATACTGTGGGAGACGGTATCAAAAGCTTTGCTAAAGTCAAGGAATTACACATTCACTGCTTTCCCCTCATCCACAGACCCAGTTATCTCCTCATAGAAGGCAATTAGGTTAGTCAGGCACGACTTGCCCTTGGTGAATCCATGCTGACTGTTCCTGATCACTTTCCTTTCTTCAAAGTGCTTCAAAATTGATTCCTTGTGGAGCTGATCCATGCTTTTTCCAGGGACTGAGGTGAGGCTGACTGGCCTGTAGTTCCCCGGATCCTCCTTCTTCCCTTTTTTTAAAGATGGGCACTACATTAGCCTTTTTCCAGTCATCTGGGACCTCCCCCGATCACTATCAGTTTTCAAAAATAATGGCCAATGGCTCTGCAATCACATCCACCAACTCCTTTAGCTCCCTCGGATGCAGTGCATCCGGCCACATGGACTTGTGCTCCTCCAGTTTTTCTAAATAGTCCTAAACCACTTCTTTCTCCACAGAGGGCTGGTCACCTCCTCCCCATACTGTGCTGCCCAGTGCAGTAGTCTGGGAGCTGACCTTGTTCATGAAGACAGAGGCAAAAAAAAGCATTGAGTACATTAGCTTTTTCCACATCCTCTGTCACTAGATTGCCTCCCTCATTCAGTAAGGGGCCCACACTTTTCCTGACCTTCTTCCTGTTGCTAACATACCTGTAGAAACCCTTCTTGTTACTCTTAACATCTCTTGCTAGCTACAACTCCAATTGTGATTTGGCCTTCCTGATTTCACTCCTGCATGCCTGAGTAATATTTTTACACTTCTCCCTGGTCATTTCATAGAATCTCAGGGTTGGAAGGGACCTCAGGAGGTCATCCAGTCCAACCCCCTGCTCAAAGCAGGACCAAACCCCAGACAGATTTCACCCCAGATCCCTAAAAGTCCCCCTCAAGGTTTGAACTCAGAACCCTGGGTTTAGCAGGCCACTGCTCAAACCACTGAGCTATCCCTCTCCCCTGAAGTCCAAGCTTCCACTTCTTGTAAGCTTCTTTTTTGTGTTTAAGATCAGCAAGGATTTCACCGTTATGTCAAGCTGGTCGCCTGCCATATTTACTATTCTTTCTACACATCGGTATGGTTTGTTCCTGCAGCCTCAATAAGGATTCTTTAAAATACAGTCAGCTCTCCTGGACTCCTTTCCCCCTCATGTTATTCTCCCAGGGGATCCTGCCCATCGGTTCCCTGAGGGAGTCAAAGGATATTGAATATGGAGCTCAGGGTCCATATTCTGCTGCTCTCCTTTCTTCCTTGTGTCAGGATCCTGAACTTGACCATTTCATGGTCACTGCCTTCCAGGTTCCCATCCACTTTTGCTTCCCTTACTGATTCTTCCTGGTTTATGAGCAGTAGGTCAAGAAGAGCTCTGCTTCTAGTTGGTTCCTCTAGCACTTGCACCAGGGAATTGTCCCCTACACTTTCCAAAAACTTCCTGGATTGTCTGTGCACTGCTGTATTGCTCTCCCAGAAGATATCGGGGTGATTGAAGTCCCCCATGAGAACCAGGGCCTGTGATCTAGTAACTTCGGTAAGTTGCCTGAAGAAAGCCTCGTTCACCTCATCCCCCTGGTCTGGTGGTCTAGAGCAGACTCCCACCACGACATCACCCTTGTTGCTCACACTTCTAAACTTAATCCAGAGACCCTCAGGTTTTTTCTGCAGTTTCATACTGGTGTTCTGAGCAGTCATACTGCTCTCTTACATACAGTGCACACCCCCCACCTTTTCTGCCCTGCCTGTCCTTCCTGAACAGTTTATATGTTGATTGATCATGTTGTCTGCTGCGAACTAAGATTAGCATTTTATATTAGTCCAACAGTTTATATTTACTGTAGTGAGTATACTTTACTTCTCCAGTAGCGCTGGTTTAATCACAAGAAGCATTTTACATTAGTGTAAGCAGAGAAGTTTGGTATTACCATTAGTTATATTTAGGCAGTGTAATCATGGACAGGGCCAGCCCTAGACCAAATAGTGCCACAGGAGTGGAGTGTCTTTGGTACTCCCTGCCTCCATTTGTTAAACTTTTGAATATGTTACAGCACTCTGAGCCTGGCATCCCCGAAGTTTGGCACCCCAGGCAGTTGCCTGGGTCGTTTGCCTCTAAATCCAGCCCTGATTGTGGCAGTTTTGTAATCACCTTTTTAGAAAATAAAGGTAAAATTGTAGTTTTCACTTAATTATAGTCTCTACAATCACTGGGTGGAGTGGACCACAGGTGCAGCAAAGTATTACTTACAAATATTACACTATAGCTGTGGTTTTCAACCTGTGGTCCATGGATCCCTTGGGGTCCACAGACTCTAACGGTCTGCAAAAGCTTTCATTAGAACAGTGGTTTTCAACCTGTCGACTATGAACCCATGGGGGTCCACTGACTATGTCTAAGATTTCCAAAGGGATCTGCAAATAAAAAAAGGTTGAAAACCACTGCACTATAGGCTGACAACAAAGACCAGGAAGAAAACAATAGATTTTTTCAAACACTATTTAGTACAATAGCCATGTTTGATAGTTTAGTGATCAAAACAAATTCAGAGGACAATAGATAGATACATTTAAAGTAAAATGACAGGAAGTGTTTGATCATGAAAGATACCTTTTTAGAGAGAGAGAGAGATTATATTGTACTTAAGTATCTTAACTTTTATTAAGATTCTCTGTGCCCAATGAAAAACATTTTAAGATATATACTATTACACATGAGTGACAAAGAGAAAACAATTGACTTCCTTTCTTATAATATGTTCATTAAACTTCATTAGAATATATATGGGCCCAATCCTGTTTCTATTGATGTCAATAGGAGTTTTACCATTGGTTTAAACGGATTGGGCCCTATGTGTATAAACAAAGTTTTTTTTTATTAGTTGAAACCTAAAACAAATACTATGTAATTCAGTTATGTCATCATATGGGAATATTGTGACTGCCATATCAAATCAGATGATTGGTCCATGTATCTTTGAACCTGTGCATGATTGTCAGCTATGGACAATTTAATATGGAATGAAATGTTCTTTCCAATGTCTGGCTTGTTCTTCACGCATTTTCAACATCTAGAAGAAGGACAAACAAAAGCTGATGAAATTAAAGCAGATATCAAAGGCCTCAAACAGGGAAAGCTCCTGATGTTGACAGAATTCAATCAGAAGTACTA